GAGCCTAGCGTGTTCAGGACATATTTTCACTGATTCGTGAGTGCCAAGCCCTTGTTTACAAGATGAATTTTTTCTCAACCTTTATTTCACCCAATTTCCAAATTTAGCACTCCACCCTTCTGTCTTTTTTCAGCGGGAAGCCTTCAGGAGGGTTTAGATAATGTTTAGATCCTGAAAAGGAACTCCCAAAGGATGGAGTTAGAGGAACAAGGACTCAACACAGTCTTCCCCCTTAAGGAGGATGGTTTAATCCGGCATCCAAAATTAACCAAAGGGGTGGCACCACCCAACTCGTGGTCTGAGGCCTTCTGGAAGACATCGACCAACAGTACTGGTCAACCAAACAACTCCTCTCCACCAACGACTTGTGCGAGACGCTGAAAAAGACTTGCAACCCCCTGCATCCATGAAATCCGATGCTCTCACGATGTTTAAGAATCTCATAGAATCTGAAACCCGAGTCATTCGAGCTGCATTTTTCGCCATGTATGTTTTCCGGGTGGGATCCAGTCAGAGATCTGGCCTCATCGTAACCGTTCTTGAAGCGCTGGGTGATGTAGTTCAAGGGAGAGGTGTCCTGAGCTGATGGGGTTCAACTCGTCCCCTGCACCAGGCGAATGTCTCACCCGGAGACAGGACTAGGATCATTCGGCGAATCAGAATTTGTTGGCGGCTTTGGCCCGTTTTCACCCAAATAAACACTCTGAGCGGTTTGTGAGTTTCGCTACTTGCTTGGACAAAACACCGATGGTGCTTGCACGATGGCAAGGACCTTTTTGTTCGATGGGGCAAATCAACTTCTCTATGATGATCTGATGATCTGATGCCAAGCACCGGAAGCACTGCACGCATCCATCGCATCCATCGCATCGTCGACGGCGGATCCATCGCATCGGTCGAAGCGAAGGTCGACGACGTGTGTTTTTGCCTCGCGAGGTTGGTCGAAGCCCATTTTGCAGCTGAGGCACGAAGTAAGGGCCGAGCGTCTTCAAGTGGTCCTGGAGACGCTCAAGAACGAGGTCCGATGAGGGAAAAGAGGAGAAACATCTGAGACTGTTAGGAGACATATTCCATCATATATGCTCATAGATGGAAGATAGAACATTCCTAAACCTTTGAGTTTCTCCCAAAGATTTGTCGGAATGTCCCATCTTCCGAGCTGATTCAGGCCGACCCTGTTGAGCACGTTTCTTCCAGGTGGTCCTGCTTCATGTATGCCACACGCAGGTTGCAATGCCGGGTCACCTCGCCCAGCTTTCCGTCCTGGTTCGCCAAACGCACATGGATTCGAGGCCGCTGCGGCCGGAGAAGCATCCAATCCACCAAATCCGTCTAAGACCACCCAAAAGTCGATACATGTCGATATGCCCAAAACCTATATTATATATATATATACATATACCCCTGCAAATCGGGGGTTGGCTTGGCTGGATCAACCCATAGAGGGTCAAGTCCAAATTTAAACTAAAACCCTAAGGGTGGAGGCCGTCGCTGGGCCGTCACTAGTAGGTTGGTTTCCATCGCTAGTGCTTTTGCTTTTGCCAGATCCAATCGTTTCAGGGCGATCTCGGTCGGCCGCATGCGACCGCATGCGAGTGGACATCGGTGGACACCGGACATGTCGCTGCTGCGGGCCAAGGGATTTGCCGAATTGGAGAAATTTCGGAAATTGAGGGACAATTGTAGTATATAGTGCAATGTTTTTGCAAGTTGTATCTATATAACGTGTTCGAACATTACACATGAGGCTGGCGCTGTGTGATGTTCATCAGAGATGGACAGGCACAGTGTTGGTTTTGAGGCCTGTGCTGACCTGAGTGCCACTCCTGACGTTCAAAACAGGCTCTGCTAGTTTCAAGTCTTTCAACCATCCTTTCCATCAGGATGTGAATTAGGGAATGAGGCGATCTGACACACAAAGGATGATATCCGCAACATCTGACCAGATTCCAACCATGCTGCTGAGCCGACGCTCTCCTTGTTCTCAGAGGGGTTCATCTCTGAACAGATGAGGGTCATCAACGTGGACTTTCCACAGCCGTTTCGTCCGCAAATCCTTGACACGGCCGGCTTTGGTTTCGCATCGTCGGCTTCGGCTTCGCAGCGGATCGCCCCCTGGAGACAACATCTCTGGGTCTTCACACCTGTCACTTGGATTTAAGCAAACTTGGGACGTGGCTGGTGCCACCGTCTATGGCACTATGGAATTGCCAGACAGGGAGTCCCACATATCTAACTGGGAGTTGTAAAGAGACAGAAAACAATGAATGAAGAGCATGAAGAACCTGGTGCGCAGTATTGCCTGGGTTCTTCTTTCGAGGGAACTACCTTGATTTCTTGCTACTGACATCACACACCCACACACACTCAAGATATTGCACACTGTGTGTGCTTTTAAGGGCAGGACAGGCCCGAGTGGGTCTTGAGAAAACTACGGCCGCTGCGGCCTGCTCTTGCCTTGCCAAACTGGCTGGCTACTCTAGCCCACTGTGGGCGACTCATGGCGTGCCCAAGGGCTGCCTGCTCAAGATCTGTAACTCATCAGGTCTGAATTAACGTTTGCGCTAAGGCTCGTCTGTCCGCTATGGACTACTCTGCTCTCCGGTCGGGAGAGAGGGACAAACCCCCTGCGTTCAACGGCACTCCTCGGGCTCACCCCCCCGCTGACACGAAGCCAGACACACTCGAGATATTGCATACGGAAATGACTTGCGGTTTGCCACACGCCAGCCTAAGTGAAAAACCTAAGGAGCCAAGATGAGTATATGTAAAGCTTCTGACCATGAAGCCTCCATGAATCCCAACAATCTCGAAATTCTCGAAGGCGGAAGACAGCGACAGGATGACGACGGACGTGCACGTCCGCAGAACTCACTAGCAGCTAGCACTTTACAGCAACCTGATCTGGAAACAGCCTAAGCGAGGGAGAAGCAGTGGAGTCATCGATTTGCAAATCGATATCACCAGCACACATCCAGTGTCTTCGTTGGTGCAAGACTGGATGGGCTGCTTGCACCCCCTGCGTAAAAAACAAAAAGGTTCGTCGTGACTCCAAGGGTTTCACACACACACACATGGACTGCAGCCCAAAACTCGAGTCTTGCAAAGGGCTGTGAAAGCTTCTCTCAACACGGGGGAACATGCAACATCTGTTTGGATTTGGCCCACTTCGCAAACCTTTTCACAACAAAACTCCTTCACACTCAAAGGTCCTGCCTTAAGAACCCTTGGTTTTGGAGTCGTAGAATCTCAAGACTCCAAGTAAGAGCACCGGATTCCACCCGGGTGGACAGTGTTTTGCGGCCATGAAGGATCTACGGAAAAAAAGAAGAAAACGGGAGTTAACTGACCAGAACATCACCCTATCACCCACCCACAGTCCAAGGTGGACACCCCGACCCAAACAGCCACATCAAATCCAAAGCCGACCGTCCAACACAACGGTCAAGATTAGAGGGTTCTTCTTCCGGTGTCAAATGCTCGCAGCAGGCGGAGGCAAGTCCCATCAAAAGTATGTTCTCGGCCGGAGTTTTGCATGAAAATGACAAGTCAGCCAGAATGCTTTCCTTCTGGTTTCATGACAAGCATCGCCACACGAGAGCCCAAGGAAAGCTTTCCAGCGACATCGGTGATGAGGTAGTCCTTGTCCTGTCGCTCTGTGTGGGGCTCTCTCTTCCTTCCGCAGAATTCCGTATGGGAACGACCGAATTACTTATATATTATAAAACAATAAAGTACTGTAGAATAATTATGCAGAAATCTTGGGAAATCACCTGTTGGAGGCCTGTGCTGTGCTTTTTTTGTGATATGGGCCACTCTCAAGCCAACCCCGACAACTCGTGGCAGTCGTGTGAGCGCAAGACGTCGACGGACATGCGACCCGTCTGGGTGAGCAGCTCATAGTTGGAAGCATCACCGAGTGCAAACACCGTGTGTTTTGCTTTCCCTTCGAAGAAACCATAGTTCAGTGAACAAGGAAATCTCCCAACGAATCCACCTAGTCGACCCATCAAGGGAGAAATGGAGAAGGCTTGGGCCATCTAGTTTCCAGCCAAATCAACAAACACAGACGGCAAGATGGTCGCCTTGCCATAGCGGAAGGAGAGGTTCTTGAACTCGATGACCGCCTGGGCAGAAGCTTTGTGACGTCGGTCATTTGCATCTGTCCGTCCTCCATTGCTGTGGAGAAACCCCTCGGAACAACCTCCGTTGACGGACGTAGTGTCAACCCACAATTTTTGGTCAGCAGTCATTGGACGTGGGACACAGATCCAACCTCCGAGCTTCCAATCCTGAGTCGAGGAATTGTCACGTTTTTCGCCAACAAAGTCCCCCCGAGCCCGAGCTGTCAAGGAATACATGCATATAGCATATGCTCTTAGGACAAGAAATCTGCAACAGCAGACTCAGCAAAAGCAAACACTGCGATCCAGCAAAGCACCCGTTCTATATGTCTGAAAACAATGGAAGTGATCTCAGGTGCTACTCTTCTGAGAACTTCTGCCCCGCCTAAAATCAAGGCTCTCAACATTTTTCACAGCATTTCAGAGTCTTCAGCTTGATTCAGCTTGCCCTTTGTTTCCTCCTCCTTCCCTCCACCCGTGGGTGCTCTTGGAGAAAAAAGACACCCCGCCAGCATCCCATACTAGTAGCTTCTTGCTACTAGTAGTAATGGCCTCCAACCTCATAGCGATGGCCTCCACCGTGTGGTATTTTTTCCCGGGACGCCTTTGAGCTGGACTTCACGCCCTCGACGGAGCCGGGAATTGGGAAGCTGATCCTGGTCGAGTCCATGGCGGGTGACCAGACCATCTGGGCTCTGAAATTTGGGCAACAAGAAGCTACTAGGAACAAGGGCATCGCTACTAGTGACAAGGGGCATGACTACTAGGAGCAAATAGCTAATAGTAACAAGAAGCTACTAGTGGTGAAATGGTCAAGGAATGTTGATGGTACAAAGCCATTGGTCAAGAGTCTGGATGAGTCCCTAGATCACGGAATTTTGTTCCTGTTGTGTCTCAATCAATCCCTTCTCAAAGACTTTTCTACTTAAAGACCACTCCAACGACTCCAATGATCCTTTTCTGGTCAGGTTCTCCAAAAAAATGACAGGAGTCCTTTGTTCCCTCCAAACACCTCCATCAAACCTCCCTCCACACATCAGGCCCATCAGATTTTGGATGCTAAGGCGCTTGGGAGGCCCAGTGATGGGCGCTTGAACCGCCGCCTTGGCGGCTTCCTCCGCACCTTCCTCGCCCTCCTCCTGGAACGATGTTCTTTCCGAGTTGAACAGCGATCCCAAAGGATCGTCGTCCTTGCGATCCCACCAAAATATATGCCTTTTGTGTTGCTGTTTCGCCATCTGGTGGTTTTGGTCCATCTTCTCTACGAAACTGCCAGTCATACGGGCTTCCCTCATGTCCAGTCATGTCTTTGTCTGATGAGTCCATGGCAGCTCTAAAATCTCAAAACCAAAGGCGCAAGCATCTCCAAAATCGAAGGTTTGGACACCTCGATGTTTACCTTTTTCCCAGCCTTGGGGCTGGCCTGCCAGGTTTCCCCTGTGTCAAATCATCACCCGGGCGTCGGTGAACATTGGTTTTGCGAACATCGTCACCGACCTGTGAGAGACACTTTTTAAGGTCAATGTTGGTTTGTCTTTGTTTGGCATCCACAGACGCTTCCCGAAGCTCGTTTCCTCAGCAACAGCAAGCAGTGTGGTTACTGGCTCTCCATGTTTATTCAAACCTGCAACATTGGCTTGAAGCATCTGGGCTACAAACATGGTTGGTGACCTGAAGGGATGTCACCCCCCACCCAGCTTGAGACTTTTGGATCTCTACCAGAGCCCTTTAACAAGTCTTTATACATTATATAGTAGAGGGTTGTTGGGCCTTAGCCGGTGTCAATTGGTTGCTGGAGGGTGCTGGTAAGTACTTCAGATTCACCATACTCTGGGTCTTCAGACTCAGCTTCCGTGTGAGAAACTTAATCGCCTATTCCGGTCATTCACCACTGCTTCCACCTGATGCCACACGGCCGCCGCAGCCCGAAGCAGTTGTCACCGTTGTCAACAGCAACTCTAAGGATGTAAGTGATGAACCATGATTAACCAAAGGTGGCAAATATTGAAAAGGAAGCACAGGAAGGCACCACATATTCTTGGTTGAACTAGACTCGCGGCATTTTTTCGTCGATGCACAAAGCACAGCTTTCGGAACGTAAGTGCTTTCGGTACTTGGCATCAGGGAGGACGGAACACGAACGAACATCATATGATGACTTTTACCTGAGGAACCTTCACAAATGCAGTGTACCCTTTCCCCTGGTCCTCATCAAGCTTCAAGTTTCCGGACAAGAGTGCCTGAAGAAGAGACGCAAGAACCATCGGCACAGGAGAGACCTCTGAGGTCTTTGGATGGAAAGGGGTGCAATGGACCTGTTGGCAAAAACATCCACTGCAGAGCTTAAAATAATACCTCCCTACTGTATAGCAACCACCCAGTATAGAGGGAGTTGGAGCATCCCAAGCTTAAAAGACTCAGCTTGCAGTGCGATCGGCGGCAACGCATCTGATGACCTACACCGACCCGGTCTGCAAGGTCAACGGAAATTGGTGCACAGGCGTCTTTGTTCCCAAACCGGTCGTCTGCGATGTTTGGTTGATACTAGGAGCAATGTTCGCTACTAGGGGCTCCTGGCCTTACTACTAGGAGCAAGAAACTACTAGGGGCTGTGAGACTCCGTTCCCAGGAGCCTTTTCCTGGTAGCGTCCTTGCTCCTAGTAAGGCCAGGGGCCAGGAGCCCCTATTAGCGTCCGAACGCTCCTAGTAGCGATGCCCTTTGCTCCTAGTAGCGTCCTTGCTCATACCGGTTCCTTTTTCAGTTTCAGTTGAAGCATGTTGAAGCCCCTGCCAACCAACAGACTGTGTCAGGCCCCACTGTGCCTTGCTAAACACATTTTAAAAAGTGGTGTCTAGTAGTGTGTCTTTTTCTCCTGGACAGAAGCTGTTTGGGATTCTCGGGCTTCCCTTGTTTAGACGGTCCACTCCAGATCGTAGGTGTGTTTGGGCAAGGTTTTGGCAAAGAGATGGCCACAAAACTCAACGACAAGAAGCAAAAAGACCCTCCTCGACCTGCTCAGCTGGCCTCGATGTCATCCGCCTTGATACCCTTGGCCATCACGAAAGCGTCGAAGTTTCCTTCCTCGGGAAGAAGTGGCTGGAGAAGCACCGAGGCAAGCTTAGGAATGGGTGTGGATTTACATGGGGAATGTGGTGTGAGCAAAGAAGCTACTAAGGGGCTCCTGGCATCGCTACTAGGAGCGTTCGGACGCTACTAGGGGCTCCTGGCCTCACTACTAGGAACAAGAGGCTACTAGGAGCAAAGGACGGTGTACATTCTGTGTGCACTCGTGGCGTTTGGGGGCAGTTGCACGATGCTGAGGCTCTGTGTTCCTGTCGTGTTCACCTTAGGCGCTGATGGGTGGCCACAGTGGTGTTTCTCTCTCGCTTTGAGAGCTCAATCACCCTGTGTTTTAACGACGAAGTTCTCTGCAGAACGCCATTGCCTCCCTGTCACCTGGTCCGTCCGCTTACTGCCAAGGAGCGGTGTAGACCAGCTGCCTGTCCTTGTAAGAGATGATGTCAGTGCAAATCCTAAGACAAAATTTGGAGACCTCTTTGCAAAAGGTGGAGCTCAGCTCTATCCGTCACCATAAAACCTCCGTTTCGGACGCACCCCGAAGCCTCGTCTATCACCGTCCAAATCCAGAGGGGACGCTCTTAGGGAAACCCATCTCATCTGAGGCTCTTGTTCAAGAACTTCGGCTCGTGGGAGATGACCTCGAAGTGGAGAGAACTGGGAGCAAGCAAGGTTTCCACCAAAGAAGATTCACAAGCGCATGAGCTCGCCTCCTGTTGTTGGTGTTTTTTGTCTGAATGAAGTTTGCAATCCATTCCGATTGGAGAAACGCTGCAGCCGAAAGCGGTTTTGCGAGGGTGTCGCGCCGGATCGCGCGGTCGCGCAAACTGGGCGGCCCTTGCCATGACAGAGGACCTGGTCAACTGCAACAAGTAGTCACCCAACCAATCCACAGACTCCTGGCTGGCCACAGATTTGTTCCCCGTCCAAAAAGGTGATGGATGCTATGCGTCAGATTGCTGGCCCCGGAACCCAGTGTCAGATTGCTGGCCCAGGTGAGACCGCATCGCCGTCATGGTGAGACCGCGAAAACATCGAGACGTTCAACATGTTGTCACAGAACAGAACAACTCGAGAACGACATCAAATCACAAAACGAAAAAAGCTTCTTGGCAAGCTCGTGTTTGGCACCGTTTTGGAGGATGTATTCATTCCATTTGTGTTGAGCAACAAGATTCTTGGGTTCATCCATGGTGTTTACTGCTTGCCAATAATGTTGAGAAATGTTGAGAATGATGTTTGTGCCCGTGCCCAGCAACCAATGGATGATCACGCGGATGGTGTGCACGATCATGGTTCTCAGGGTGGCTCGTTTGTGAAAGGGTTCTCCACTTGCTATGCTGCGCCTGGTCCAAGTGGTTCGTAGGCTCATCCAAAAGGACAATGTCTGCATGTTTCAGCATAGACCTCGAGCAGAACACTGGCTCCCATCAATTGATGACTGTCCATTCTACTTAAGGACAGGTCGTTTGGGCTTCCTGCAACTGATATATCTCACTGACTTGCCTTGCTCTGACTGAACACCTTGAACACAACCCCACCCGAACCTGAACTTCATTGGTGTCTACCAGGACCATGATCAATCCCTGAAAAAAGTCACATTCTTCGTGAAAGCGAAATTTGGAGGATGGTCCTCGAGACATTGGTCTTCGAGGAAGATCAGCTCTTGGCCTGTTTCACCAGCTCACTAGGTGTTCATGCCATTGGTCCTAAACTCACAAGTCACGGATGAAGGCCTCAAACCAATAAACAGGGGCAATGGACTGTTTGGGGAAGTAGCCAGGAACCCATTGATTTGAGGTAGGCAACGCTCCTAAGATATTCGGGATCACCCTTCGGAAAGCACACCAGATCTTGGACTCTCAACGGATCCAAGCTCCCAAGGTTTCACCGAGGACAGTGAGCAACCCCATGCAACCAAGACCTGAGTTCCCGGCACGGCCAAGGTCAAGCGCATGCGCCAGCCAGTGGACAGCTCGGCCACCGGCACCTCGAACCTGCCAGCAAGAGACCAACCAGAAAACCCGCCTGGTTTTCCCCCGGACAGGCGCTCCGCCCCGCAGGGCTCAGGCCGAGCCCAAGAGGCTCTTTTGTGGGTTCGCAACCAAAACAGGTTTGGGAGCGGTCCAAGGACCCTTGCTTGGGTGGTCGAGGCGGTGTTCACAACGACTTGGGGGGGGGAGTCCCCTGAGAATGATCCAAAAAGCTAGCGCTCTCTTCAGCGTAGGGTAACATACAACCACGCTGGCATATTGCAGAATACACAGATCTGTTCACAAGCAGTGCTTGTGTGCAATGCCGCAATGCCCAAATCCCGAGTCAGAGATGTTAACCACCCTGCTCTGGTCTATCAGGAGTTGCCCAGCCGCTCCAATGCAATTCATGTTTGTGGTGGTGCTAGAACCCTGGTTTGGTTGCCAAACATATCATATCACATATCTTCTTGAGATCAATCCAAGAGAAGGACACGACCGCAACCACTGCAGTGACGCTTGCTGAAGGAAAAGTCATGTCGTTGAAGGAATTGCAAAAAAGAAAGACAAGAGCAATCGGGGATATGTAGCTGTTACTGGGGATCGTCTCCAGGCTGCAGCGGATCCTCTCCATGTTAAAACAGTTGACCTGCCACTTGAGTGATTTTCAGTGATCTGTGGGGTCAGTTCGCATGAATTGTCCTCAATCCAAACAAAAAGCAGTGGCTTTCCAAAACCACCTCTCAGGCAGCGGCTAAGCAAGACCCCACGCCCTCCGGGCGTCCCGGACATCTTCTCGGGAAAGCCCACAGTCCGCAAGTTCTCGGCCGAGGCATCCGTGACGCCAATCTCCATGGCCTTCTTTTGCACCTGGGCGCAGAAGGTAAGCACTGAGCGCTGCTGATTTCCGGGTGCCACACATCTGCCACCCTGGAATGGCATGGATGTGATGAGAACTGGGAGGTCCTCCTTTCCACTTGGATTTCAGGAGAAGGGTGATTTCCTGCAGCTCAAGGCGCATATTCCAGGGCGTTCAAGCTGCTCTTGCTCATCTCACCTGCCAGGTGGTCCCATCTCTTACACCGAAGCGTGCAACCCTGCACTCCATCCAGACCGGACATTTGACCAGGTGTTCCCAGGTCCCAACTTTAAAGGATTCCAGGAATCGCCACGAAGCGGTTGACACAAAGAGGTGGCGTTTTGGGCGTAGAAATTCGTCCAACTCCATGATTTGAGGGGCATCATTTGAATCACAGGTCTCCACAGGTCTCCACAGGTCTCCGAGGCCTAGCTTGGAATCGTCCACGTGCACGCAGCGAAGGTGCGTGGGCATGCCCACGATGCGCCCTGCCACGATCTCCTGCAAGGAACCCAGCGGCCATCATGGCCAGCTTGGGACAAACAAGCCCAATCAAACCCCTCGATCTCCAGCTGCAACACACCACTCGTCTGAAACATGTCCCAAAGATGTTCAGCGAACAGACATCACAAAGATGTAAAAACACCCTGCAAGCCGATGGTCAATCCGCTCCATGGCGGCTTTGCTCAAGTAACACACCAAGACCAACCATCTGTCCGCCCCACACCGGGACCTTCGAGTACGGAAGACTCCTCCGCCCAGACCGTTTGAGATGCTTTTTGCCCGTCCTTCATCAGGGTGGTCTTACCGGCACCTCAGGCCCGAACGACTCGGCATCCAATCAACATAGAACCATGTATACATATATATTATAATTATAATATATATATATATATCTGGACACGTCCAGAGAATTCAGGTGTTTCGAGGGCCCATCGAAACGAGACCAAAAGTGTGGCTGGAACACAAAAGAGGTCGTTTGGCATTGGAGATTGGCCCATCTGCATAAAACATCTATATACTGTAAAACAGACTTGAAAAATCTCCAGTCCCACCAAGTCTGCTTGACAAGGGGCCGTTGTGGCCCACCACCCCATAGCGGCGGTTCGCCTTCATCTCCAGCATGGTGTCCTTCAGCAAGAGCTTGCCGGCACCATACATCCTTAGGATCAGCGCAGCGCCGGGTACATTCCGGTGGCGTCCAATGCCAAACGGAGCGTGTCGGGGTGGAAGCCGATCTTGGGATCAATGCTGGGGATGAACCCACTCAGGCTACTCAGGGAATCTTGCCTCATCAACTTCGGAATGGGAGGACCCCCCCGAGGTGGAGAAGCTCCAAACTCGTTTCAACCTGCCTGGTGCATCAAAGGGTTCAAAAAAGAAAGCAGTGGAATTCTCTGCTACCACAGCTGGTCCTTGATCCGGTGTTTCAAACCTCTTTGATCAACCCTAAATGCAAGCGGGAGAACTCCTCATCTTTGCTTAGGTCAGACCGTTCTTGAACTGCTGTAGCACAGGCCAGCATTTGCATTGAAGGCCCAAGGCTCACAAGGGATTTATTATTCACATGGGCAGGGTCTTTTCAGAGTCAACTTCTCCACCGAACTTCTCCGGACCGGACCTTTGATCTTCGCCTTCCTCTTTCTTTCAACCAGATCCAATCTCAGGGGCCAATCCTCTTCTAACATCCCTCCTCTCGGGGATATCGCAAAACTGGAAGGGATCCTGAAAACTTCTACGAAATCCGGCTTCCCAATTCTACAAGTCTCCCAATCACAACTACTGAAAAAAGAACCGAGATCTCTTCAAGGACCTCCTTTTTGTTCTTATGGCTCATGGTTTCTTGTTGAAACGTTTTGCAAGGAGGTGGCTTCAGTTCTTGATCATGTTCTTTTCACTGAAATTGGACCCTCCGAGGGTCAGCAACATGTTCTCCACTCTCAGCAGGGTGCCCGCATCGTAGCCCTCATGGTGTTGACCTTCGAAATCCTCACCCAAGACTTCACGGCACAGCGCCTACGCTGCGAGGGACGCGACAAAAACGACACGAAAAACACGTTCTCCACTAGACTCCAATGCCTGGGACGATTCCCAGGATCGTCCAAAGGACCAGGGTCACTGAAGGTGGGTCATTGTTTCAAGCTGGAGAGGCTGGCAGGCTAGCTGAGGCCACAACATTCTTCTACCTTTGACAGAAGGTGGCAAGAAGCTAGGGCCCCCTCTGCGTGCGGCTCCCAACCAGTGAGGTTTAGCCGAAATGGTCTCGGTAACTAATGGTGTGTTAAACACTTTGCAGCATGCTATAATTAACTTTTCCCTGATTCAAACGAAGTATTCAATGCACAATGACTGATAGGGAGATCCTCTTCTGTACAAATGAACGCCCCACTGAGTACCCGATGGCCTCCACATTATCAGGCAAAGACTTGCAAAACTCCTCCACCTGAGCGTGGCCGAGCGGAATCTTTATGCCAAGTAGCATGTGTCAGCGAAGAATCGTATGACCTGGTGACACTTCTGATCAAGAACTTCTCCGGACACATCCGGACACACATAAACCCTCGCGAACTGTCCGACAAGTGTGGGATGCAAAACAGGGTGTCCGCGGCTCAGGTGTCTGCAAGCTTCCTGGTGAAACAACACGTTCGGAGGTCCCTTTTTAGTGTTCACCAAAAATGTGCAAAACGCGCTGCAAATGAGCTACGGGTTGAATTCTCCGGCTAGGTGGGTGCCTGGCTTGTGCGGGGGAGCATGTGTCTCCAAACAGTTTTGTTGTGTCTCAATTATTGCATAGAAACGAGCCTGGGCCAAGATAACTTTCTGGCCTTTTGTCTCCGTTCGTTTGCTTTGTCTCCCATGGCTCTTCAGGATGCTGGGCTGAGATGATTCTGCTTTGTCTTGCTTTGTCTCCAAGCCGGGGGCCTGCTCCTTGCAGCATTGGCAAATCATCTGCAAGGCCAGCTGCAGCTCCTGCAGTTGATGGAGGACAAATCTAGAATACAAACAAGTGCACCAAGTATCTGAGGCAGTGAGATGTTCTAAAACAAACGTATGAAGCCGTGTCTGACCACGAAAGCCATGGTCCAAGCTTTGGGGCGATGCAATCCAAAAGACCGTCTACGGTCTGATCAAGACCAGGAGGAGAAGAGGAAGAAGAAGAGAGGGAGGAAAAAGAAGGAAAAGCTCGACCTGTATGGTTGACTATTCCTCCACAAAAGCTTCTTGTGGGGGTATGGTGCTTTGCCCTCAAATCAGGGCCACAACCAAGTCCATGTGATGAGACAATCTAATCATATATACTGTAATACAAGTCTATGGATGTGGTGCAAAAGATTCTAAGGCCCCCTCTCCACCCCTCCGGCCACTCCGACCCCCGTCCTCAACGACCTTGGGCCCTGGGAGTTTCTTCTTGTGACCCTCACGAATCACGCTCTCCGAGACCGACAAGGCATGGCTCTTCAAGTCGCCTCACATGCAACGGAGCAGAAATCCGCTGACCCGAAGCTGGAGGGGACCTCATGCCAGATCTTCTTGATGATAAACAACTCATGGGAGTCTAAAGATGCGCCATTCATTGAATGATGTCCAGTTACAGTGTACAGTCTAGTTTTGGGTTCCGAATTTGCGTTTCTACAAGAGATTCACATTGCAAGCACATGCCCAAAAGTCATGGAGAATGAGGTGCTTGCGACGACACGAGTGATCTGTTCGAAACAGACCTTCAGACGAGCAGTTCACCTCAACCTGCAACACCCCTCAGACCCGTCCAAATTCATTTCACCAAAGCGCTACGTCACCAGCAATGAGCCCTTCTCCAGCAACTGGAGATCCCGAAACATGTCTGTGCCAGACTAGCGCCTGGGAGACTTCCAAACAGCGCTTGCTTGTTCCAGAAGTTCTCAACCTTCTTCACCATTTGGCAGTCCTGCACAGACAGTTGGGCCAAAGATCTGAAAGATCAACATCTGTCATCAATCACCTGGATCAAAACTTTTGAAGGATTAGTCACATTCAAGAATCTCAAAAGGTGGATTTCGTCGGCAGAGATTGGGGAGCAGCACACCAAGCACCTCTCGAATTCACTGGGAAACCATCAAGAAACATCAAAAGTTCAAAAGCAACCAAGAGCCAACAGAAGCCATCAAATCTTACCAAAAGCATCCGAAACCCAGATTTGAAGCCAGCAAAAGCCACGAGAAGTCGCCAAAAGCCAGAAGCCAGGATCTCCCCCAGAGCCCAAGAGCCCACTTCTTTCAAGATTCATAAGCAGCCGGGAAAAAGATATCTTTCTTCTCGATGCTTCTGCAAGAAATTCCAGTTTCTGCCGTGATCCACTCCAACCGACCGACCGCCCGTTCTTCGGGCCACCTTTTTGTGAGGAACCGAGCTCTTGGTGGCCAAATTCCTAGGGTGAAGTGCCAAAACAATGGATCGAATTCCGTCCCAAGTTCGGAGGCATTTCTGAAGCTTTCGGTGCAAGACTGGGCTCATCGGCCTCCTTGATGTCGGCCTCATCAGCTGGGCTATCGGAGCCCTGACCTGGCTGTTTCGAGGCACCCAGCAAGGCACATTCCACACATCCTGAGATAAGGCGCCGGCCTGGCTCAAAGAAATTCACAGAGTGCTTGGGAAAAGCTTGGAAGGCGGAAGGTGCCGAGACATTTTAAGAACTGTTTGCTTCCCAAAGGTTGGCCGGCCTTCGTCCAGAACACCCGATGTTAATGGGAAGCTCCTGTCAGTATGAAAAAGAAGTGATTTATAACAAGTATTGCCTCCCAAGGAGTCCTTTTGAAGGAGACATTCTTTACCACCTTCTGAGAGACACACTCTTGCTTTGAGAGCGGCCCAAGTGCCAGCCAATCCACAGCCCAACCGTTGCGGCCCCCCGTCGCGCTGCAAGCATGTTTCCTCCCACGCCGGTCATCTTGTGAGGGTGCAACACATTGAAACACATTGAAACACTTGTAACCCCTTTGAGGGCTTGCGCCACTTGCGCGCCAACTGTGTTGGCAGACAACCTAAACCCTAAAACCCTACAGTAAGCCTTCTCTTCCCCTTGTCCGGCCAATAAAGAAATTCTGAGAAGCTCATGTGACAACTCAGGGATGAGATTTGCGACTCTCCCCTGAGAGCAATGTACGGTTTGCATCTGCCACGTGTTCGTTGTTCCATCTCACTTGCCAACGCAGACTGGCAATGGCACCAGCTGCCGCAGTTGAGAAGGAAAGAGCCAGCTGTGCAGGCTCAAAGAAGGAGGGCAGGAAGTTCAGCAAGTGGTGAGAGAGAATGCCTGCGGCTGAACCAGACACTAGACTGGGAAAGAGGTTGACTTCTTCACGGTCCGGATTCTGGGACAAGAGCTTTGCCAACAAAGGATCCATCCGCACACTTTTCCGGAGCATATTGACTTTTTGCAACAGCTCATGTTGCGTTTTGCATTTCATGAAGAGATGCTGATGGCGGGCCATGATGGTCATGATCAGATGTCTGAATTGGAAACGCGGATCGTTCGCATCATACGTGCCCAGCGGAACCACTAGGCGATGCAGGAGACGCACATGCCATTCAAATGCTTGTATTTCCGGACAGTAGGAGTCGATCAGAAGGGTTGAGAGCAAATGCCTTACAATCTCCAAGAAGATCTCTTGTCCGCGCGGAAAGCGTTGGAAGGTCTGGAACATGTCTGGCCATCGGTACTGGGTGGCTTCCCAAACCTTCTGAGCATCCAGCATGATTTTCTCCGTCTGTCGAGCCACGTCATTTTCGAAGTAGTCCTTGAGGTGGTACCTTTCATAGAGCAAGGCCAAGAGCATAAAAGTCAGCTTCTCACTGCCCAAGACAGCCATCAGTTGCCCTGCGAAGCCCGCAATCACCGTGTTGTAGCCCACACGTGGTCTCCAGGCTGCAAAGGCTTTTAAGGCTAAGACCAGCTTCACACGGCCTTGCTGCTGACTGAAGGATGCAATGGTGGGCAGCTTCAATCTCGGCGTCTCGTCAAACACGGCTTTCCTATCTCTATGCTGACTATTCTTCTCGTGTTGCCGTTTCCCACCAACTACTATTTTCGTGACCTTGACATCCAGCGCTGCCTCCAACTCCCATATCACGGTCTGCGGCACTGTATCTGCTGCTCGGAGCGCCCACTCGGAGAAAGAGACCGGGGAAGATGGGCAGAGATCTTGCCAGATGATCACGTATTCCTCGCAAAGCCGCGGGCCTTGCCATTGTGCATTCACCTGTTGCTCCCGGCTGTGCTGGTGGTGGTCTTTCGCGGTAAACCGCCCGGGATCCACGGGCATGGCCGATCCAGACTTTAAAGTGTGCTGCGAACGTGCAAAAACATTCTTCCTGAACATACTCCAATTGCACATGTGTGTGTGTGTTCTCACACACTTGGGGTACCTGGCTTGGCTGGGGTTCACGTGCAATGCTGTGAGCCTCACACTGCTTGCTTGGTCACCACAGTTGGCCCAAAAGCAAGACGTACATGCGTCAACAAAACAATCACTGGAAACCTATCAAAACCTTGGGAATGTCAAGACTTCGCACGTCACCTCAGGATTTCTTTCAAAGACATTTCTGCGAGTTCTTGACCGAGTTCGGGCCAAGTTCGAAACTCGACCGCGTGCGGCTGGCCGCGTCCGACGCGGGGCCTGCGGCAATGCGTGCGGCCTCTGCACTGTTCGACTGGGCCACCTCGAAGGCGAAGTCGCCGGTCACGGCCTCGGGATTTTCCCGACGCGACAGTGTGGGCCTCAGGAAAACCATGTGGCACGCGAGTGTGGGATGTGGTGTCCGGGCTTGGACAGCGGTTTTCAATTCACCTGCACAGCCTGTTTTCCTTCGCTTCCTCCACTTGTTCCTGGTTCTTACTTCTGACAAGTATGGCAGCGGGTCACATTCCGATGACTCGTTGGCACGCCCACCACCTCCCGGTTCCGCACACCAAGAGAAAAAGGAACGACACATGGGTGTTCATGTCCACCCCCTAAGACCCTGTTGGGGATAAACCAGGTGTATGTTGCAAACTAGAGTGGTTAGGGACAAACCCGAAAGAGGCCCGTGGTCACCGCCCACTTCACCGCCCACTGGAACCCACCAAAAGGAGGGTGGAGATGTTCCCACTTCGTGAGAAGGAAGTGCTTCACTTCTCAGAGCCCGAGGTGAGAAACCTCACCTCGGCCGCCTCGGCCTTCAAGAAACGGTCTGGAGGTTCACCGCGTTTCAATCGGCCTGCCTCTGCATCTTCACTGGGCTCCTCCAAATCGCCCGCCTGGAAACTGTTCTGCAAGGACATAGAGCACTGTCCATGCTTGTTCCGGTGCCTGTGATTTGATGCTCTTTTCTGAACTACCAAGCGCTCCTTCCGCTGAAAAAACCGCGTGGTCTGTACATTCGCCAAGCTAGTCGCATTGCAAGTGTCCCTATTGTGGGGCCAGGGGCCATGGGATTCACCGCCGTGATGGGCACCGCTCAGAGCGGCACTACGTCCCACCGAGGCGGTTCAGGCGGAGGACTGCCCGCCCGGACGGAGCAACCGGACTGCCTGGACCCTGCAATGAGGGACTGGAGGACTGGAAGTGGGTAGATCGAACATCTGAACTCTATACATGTTTAAACCTATACACCCAGCTTTCAGCCGAGATCTGGTGTTTTTTGTGGTCTTTGATGGGCTGTTCTCCACACGTTCGTCTTGTCTTCTCCAGTTTCTACCTGAACTGATGACAAAAACCTGTGGATTCCAACCTCTTGAACCATCGCCAACTCTCAAGTGATAGCGAACAACTTTTGAGGAGATGCCCCTTTTTCACACAAAAAAGAGAGAATCAACTACTCTATTTAGGTCTTCAAACCATCGCAGTCTAGGAGGAGGACATCAACATCCTTTCTGCTGGGCCATCACTAGCCCTTCTTTTGGTGTGACTCCCAGTCATGATCTCCGGGTCATGACCAGGAATATTATCGGAAATGAAACTAGAGGATATTCACGCATCCCATCAGTTCTGTACCTGCTTTTGGTCCATCTTTTCAGAGCTGCGTGGTCCGAGCAGTTTTAGCGGGTTCCAAAAGCAACCTTGGACCGGCAAGGGAGTCCATTCTTGTGGTTTTATCACCTGCAATACATGGTGAAATCCCATTTCGAGGCCTTTGCAAAGCATTGTAATTTGGAGCATATACCGTGAAGACCTCAATTATGGAAGAAATTGCAGATATAGATGTTCTACTTGAAATGTTTCCGGGACTGCCCGGCATACCCTGTCAATCAGAAGATCCCATTAGCCGTTGGATTAAAAGGAGCCAAATGCGGGTCCTTTGAGTTGCTTTGCAGCGCATTTTGGACTTTCTGCTCAAGAATATGCATCTCCTGTTTGAACATACCTTGGTCCAGTTATTTTCTGGTTGAACTGATCTTCTATTTGACTTTCCGACCGGGCCTTTCCTATTGTGTTAGTTTTCGGAGTTTCTGATTGGTAATTTCCACGTTTACAAGTTTCTAGTTCACTTCCATGTGATTTGCGTGTGCCTTCATCTTTTACCTACGTGAGGATTTGGCAGGCCTGGGACCAAATGCTTTAAATCATGCAACATTATCAATTACACTGCATTAGGAACAGTGGTGGGGCAGAAAAAGCAATTGCTGCCTAGACTGGGAGCCCTGAGTGGGAGAACACACTTGCTGGTGAAATGCCACAATGCCACTGCAAACCCGAGTGTTTTGTGTTCACAATTTTGTAGGATGTCCCAGTCTCAGAAGTTTCAGCTTCCGTATATTGTATAATATATATATATAGTTAAGACCTGCACTGCTCTAGCGTGCAAGACGACCTGCTCGAGGTCGGTGGCGTTTCCATCAAATGGTTCACCTGCCTGAGGTCAATGCCAACAAAGCACATTACGTTACCAATTACAAAGAGATTACCTAGGATGGGGAAAGAGTCAAATTGAAGATATAATATACTATTATGATACGTTATTTGAACCACAACCAATATATTCTATTTGGATGGAACCAAACCGGAGGTCTGTCCGAAGCATACATCACAGGCGCCAAGCCATGTGCCGTCCCCTCACAATCAAGTTGGTCACGAGATGTCAATATATCATACGTACCATCACTGACCATTCCCTAGAGGAATATGCGGAAAACCCAATGTGGAAACATTTCATCGGAGACCATGACCCGTTTCATTCCTATAATCTTTCCCAACAGGACGGAACGTCCTCCATGCCCCACCAGCTCCGCGTGTCGCGCGCCTTCACCAGCTCCGCCAGGGCATCCTTGGCCACCTTTTGAAGACCCGCGCCCATGGAGCCTCGACGGGGTGACAAGGAGTGCAACGAGATCTACTTGCAAAGTTATGATCAAGCATTTGTGTCCAGTTCATAAGGTCTCGATCGTGCAGCACAAACCAGCAGTTGAGTTGTGTTTTTTTTTGTGGTGTGGGGCTTATACACTGGGTCTGTACCTATGCGGGTGCCTACGCGGGTGCGTCAACTGTTGACGCAGTCTCCCTCACTACTGGCGGACATATCAAGGACACTAGAAGCACTTGCAGTGCAGAACCCACCTGGATGAGACTTCCTCCCTCTTCATGACCCTCACTTCTTTTGAGACATGCTCGGAGTTCGCAAGACACGTGCGCAATGGGAAGACTCGACACGTGCGCCCGTTCAGCTGTTCGATCTCGGGAGCCACATTGACATGGAACGAGTTGGTGGCTTTTCTCTGTCTGCCCTCACGGCAAGGGACAGTTGAATCTTTTCCGGCGGAGAATCCAGTTATCCGATATATTAGGCAAAGATTGATCCACAAACAATCAGAAGCTTGTCGCACTGTAGTGCGACAGCTTGAATATTAAACAGAAGCTCATCCCAGCTTACAAAACACAGGAGCTTTACATGGGAGCTAAAAGTCTCATTTGTTTGGGTTTCGTCCCGAGACATTCCTTGGCATCCCATGCCGCCCAAATTAACCAAAACAAAAGGAGCTGGCTGAGACACTGCCTCAATACATAACTTAACCATGAATGATATTGCACCGCCCCTTCACCACGTTCAGGTCATTGACCTTCCCACACTGCCTTCCTATCTAAACTGGGTCCCAAAATGTGCAAACACTCGAAGCAGTGGGATACATTGGCCGATCCTTATCCAGGTCAGGTCCATGCACACACCTAACCCGTTTTTCTCACCAAAGTGAGGGTGTCGCACCTTGCGACAGACGTGTCCACAAGACCGGCGAGACCCAAGAACAATGGCAAAAGCCATGTAAAAGAAGCGGTTTAATGGTTTCATGACAAAAACGTTGGCCAATAACCTACTCTCCACTCTGCCAAAAAAATACGCGCCCGAGTCCACACCTGCGCGCCACTTCAGGATGCTCTCAGACAACTCCTTGATGATCGTCTTCCTCAGTTCATCGAATTCTGCCACAAAGGGCTGCTCTGTTGCGTGAAGGAAGCATGCCAAGGCCAAGTACTGGAAGGCTCAGCCCGGCTTTTGTATGGGACATGTTCTTCAAATCGGCCATTTCTACAAAAGCCTCCGGATGCCGAAGAGGAGTCTACCTTCAGTCTCCTTTTTCTTGGATGCAACGAACCTCAAAATGACAGCACACCCCCAGCACACGCACCGCACACCCGCAGCACGTTGCGAAAGTGGGCTGCCGTTCCTTACACCCAAAACGCGACGACGTTCGCTGCTCAGTGCTGCCACAGCTCTGCATCTTCGGGGATCCGCCGGAGGTCTTCCTGTCTGAACCCGCGGCAAACGGCGCCCCGACCGGTGGCAGGAATTGGAGGCGGCAATCGCGTGCACGTCTCTGGCATTCCTGGGATTCCTGGCCCACCCTTGATTTATATAATGGTATTTACCATGATAAAACGGTATTTATAGCTATTCATAATGGTATTTATATATAACGGTATATATATAATGGTATTCCTGGTTTTGCTGGAAACCCGCCGTTTCATCTCGATGTCCCTCTAGCTCTGCCGCATCCAACACCAATTATTCGATGCCCGGAGTACCCTGAGATGCCCCAAGACCGCATCGATCTTTTCAACCGGGACCTTCGACTCGCGTTTACTCGGAAGAAGGATCCTAATGGAGTAACTGATACCTGGCCAAATTGGCTTTCTTTTAATTCGGCCCATGCTTGTCCTAGGCCTCGTTCATGACTTTTTGGGTGTCTTATTCACCCCTGTCGTCGTGGTTGCATGCTCTTGTTAGTCCCAAATCTCTGGAACCCCCATCACCCGTATGGAAGTGTCCGTGAGATGCGCGTGATCGTCCGCAAGTGAGAGACCATACAGGTAGTGTTTTACATTGTTCTATTCAGGATTCTAGACCACAAAACCACCTTTCAGAATCTCTTTGATTGGTCTCTGACTGTGAAAGTAAGAGTCACTGCTGCAGTGACCACTGGAGGTTTAGACATGGTCTCAATTGCTTGGACGATATGACAGCTGTTATTTGAAATTTGGGGATGCGTCTTCACATGGCGCAGAAGCGGCTTAACCTCCCAAGTTCATTCGTGGCTTTGCATTGTGACCTCCCAACTCCAACTACTTGATGAGTCCATGATACATTTCAGCTGTTGTTCCTCTTCAAAGCATGGCGGTTCTTGCGCCCACCACGCTGCACAGGGATCCACTTCCACTGCCACTCTCCCACACTCCCTCCCACCGCACCAGACGTTGCTGGCCACACGCTTCACAGCAGCGTCGGGGTCGCTGCGAGCCACGAAAGAGAGGATCAGCACACGCAAGCGGGTGGCCTCGCAGAGGGAGCACCGGCGAAAAATGGGCACAACGCGCAGGGCGAAAAGCGGGAACCATTTTGGCAGAGAAGAGGACCCCTTCCAGTCTCCACAGGTGACCACCATCTATCTGAGGTCTGATGCTTTGAGGTGCAGGCAACAGGGGAAACCTAAGAAAGAGGAAGATCGGTTTGTCCTCGACTGCGCCTCCGATTGGAGCTGCGCAACTCACATCCCGGCCCCGGCTTTCGGATTTGGAGAACGCTGTCACCTGGTACCACCGAATCCAAATCAGTCAGGTCTGAGCACTATTGGGTTGTGGGATGCCCCCTGGAAACTTGGGCAAAGTCCTAAGTTGACGTGGAAGCTTCTCTTTCTCACGGGAAAGAACAAAGACTTCACGCTAGCAAAGGCGCCAGCTTCTAGTCCTCTTGCACATCGGCTATGAAACACATCGACATCGCACGCGATCGCCAATCGCCTTGTTGGAGCATTCGTCGCAGGTCAGCAAGTCCTGCCCAAACCTCATTTTCTTGGACCGCCCAGATTCAAAAAAAAAAAGAATATATATATATATATATACATAGCACCCTCCAACAGGTCGCCACCTGACACTTTTAAGTCTCCAAAAGCTACCAGGGGAGACCTGTTGGAGGGTGCTGGTACACATGTATGAATATATATATATATTTTTATTTATATTTATTTTTATTTACGTACGTATTTATTTATTTGTTTATTTATATGTACATGTATGTGTATAGTCATATATTATCTACATATGTAATATATATAAATATATATATATTACAACACAATAATATTGAGGGCAAAAGGCGGTGTGGAGTGAAGAGACACACTGAAAGGTGTCTCCTGGTCGGATCAGGCCCCAAAAGGTGACATTCAGGAGGTGATCATCCCTGCTGTTGGCTTGTTGATCCCACATCCTGCTTTCTTCACCAGATCTCAAAGTTGGCAATATTGACAACTCTGCTGAACTCCTGACCGCCGGGGCCGACGTTGGGGTTTGCTGTTTTTCGGCCGACGGGCACATGTTGGGGAACCCGGCTTCTTGTGCTCCAGGATCTTCTCAGCAGTCTTCAACAAGAGCTGCATCGATTTCTCGCGGACGATCTGCATCTTCTTCCAGTCACCTGAGGACCTGCCGCGCGACCAGTCACATAGTTTTCTACTTGGGTTCAGAAAAGCACCAAGACAGCAAGAAATGGCACCGACCAATTCTTACATGCTTTAAGTGACTTTAGTTTGGCGACATGGTCACTCTCCAAAAAACACAAATGTTGCCGGCACCCCAAAGCTTTCGCATAGGAGCCCTCAAAAGCCGCCATGAGCAGATCTGGGCACCTGGACGGGATCGGTCGATGGGGCAACAGATCGGGATCCGAACGTGACCGGGATCAGCACGGAAGCACGGGATCCGAACGGGCTGGGAGCGGCGAAGTCCAGTTCGCTCCTTCAGTTCGTCCGAAGAAGTGCGGAGTTGGATGAAGAAGTGCCTGGAAACCGATACTAGGAGCACAGGGCATCGCTACTAGGGGCTCCTGGCATCGCTACTAGGAGCGTTCGGACGCTACTAGGAGCAAAGGGCATCGCTACTAGGAGCGTTCGGACGCTACTAGGGGCTCCTGGCCTTACTACTACGAACAAGAAGCTACGTTTCCTCATGCGTCCTTTCCCACGGCTAAAGATTAAATCAGATGCCAACAACTTGGCACTCATTGCCCATGTGAAGGTTTGGCCAATCCTGTGGGCTTGATCGGAGACACAACTGGAAGATATCCCACCATGTCCTGAGAGAAGGTCTAGTGCAATCTAGAACCCTCAAACCTCACATTCATGACAAATGACAGAGGAAGCTCCAAAGCCTTCCGTCATGTTGCTTTAGAAAAACATAGAAAAACTCTTCGCCCTACAACATCCATCAAATCCAATGACTCCAATGCCCCCTTCTAATCCCCACCTTCTCCCCACCACCCCAGTCCAAGGCGCAAATCTCCAAAGCGGCCCACCAACGCCTGGGCCGCCTTCATTGCTGGATCATCGCTCAGGTCCTTTTTGGCACAATCGAACGACCCCCCAGAGCAAAAAGAGGTGGACAACGGGAGATTCCGCACTTTCTTTTTCTACATCAGTTGATATATTCCTACTCATTCCTGCCACCTACCCAATCCCACCCATACCAGGACCCTGCAAAATTGGTGGCGGAATTTCAAGGACCTTGAGAAGAGACTGAGCGCTGGGACCACAAACGGAGATTCAGCCTGATGAGACCATCAATGCATACAGGTCAATTCGACTTCTCCCGGCACCAGGAATGATCTCGGAGGGTTTTCTTCCAAGGACTTCCTGTCGACCCCAAGAAATCTAGGGATTCCAATGTTTGTTGAAATGCGCAGTATTCAACATCAAAAGGTATAATAGGGCCTCATAATAGGGCAATTGATCCTCACAAAAAGAATATGAACTATGCCAGAAAGGTTCGACCCAAAAAAATGATTCCTGCTACAAAATGCATTGGTGGTATATATATTGGTGTCGGTTCATGGGTGGAGGAATGCGGAAGAGCTCATCATTTGAGTTTATGGGAATGACATCATTGCCTCAGCTACTTGTCATTGCCTCTCCTTCCTTCCGCTCAGCATGGATAATTTGCCGAACGGCGCACCAGCCTGCTTGTCTTGTTGACTGGTTTGCTGGCATTGTGTCCTGTTCGTACATGTTGGTGCGGCGACCACAGGCCATCCCCTGAATCTGCGTGGGATGCGGCCCTCATCGGAAGAAGACCTGGTCGAACTTGGAGTCCAAGTTGGCATGCGGTACCCACGGTGCCATCGCTCTTGTTCCCCCCCCTTGCCCACGCGGTCGACGCCTTCCCCGCAGAAGGCGGTCCTTCTCACCATTGATGCCCATGAGCATCGCAGGGAAGAGGCGTTCGATGTAGGGAACGAAATCCATCTTCATGGCCTATGCAACAAAAAGAACTTGGCGTCGTTCCGAACCTTGCACCATGGATCCCAACATGTATTGTGCAACACAATTCCAGATAACCCTTGGGGGTTAAGAAGGTGAAACTGGAAGCCTTCTGACAACCGCTCCCTCTCTCTCCCTCTCTCAAAAGTCCCATGTTCAGTGCAGCTTCTATCCCTAGACCTCTCGAATTGGACCTCCAGATATCTCTGCTGACACCTTCCCCCAACGAGATGTTCTACTGCCTGAGGCATGGTATCCATCAGCTCCAGAAAGCCACGGCGCACTGTGACGCTCTCCTCGTTGGCACCCTGAGGAAAAAAGAGATCTCAGGGAGTTAAAGACGTCCCCCTCTTGGAGCACAGACTCCCAAGTCGCTGGTTGCTAGGATCATGGGAAGGCTTTAGAAGGTTGATAGTTCGAAAGCCACCGAAACAGCAATGATCCTGACTTGCTTGTCCCCGTTTCTGTGACTCCAAGACATCCCAAAAGTACTCCGTGTTGATGCTAAAGGTTTGAGGGACAGGCCAAATAAACCAGTAGCATGTGGGGCTTTTTCTTTGCCCGCCTTCTGGACCTCTGGCATGAGCTGCGTGAGCTTCGCCTCAGTTTCGAAAGCATTACGCGATCCCAGTCTCCAGCAAAAGAGCTGGACTGCAGCTTGGCCAGGCCATTCTTGGACTACTTGAGAGGAGGGAGACACGAAAGGTAGGACAGCGGGAAGAGAAGAGAACGCGAGAGGCAGGAACAAAAATGCAATGTTCGACATGGTGATTTATCCCCTCGGAGGCGACCTGTCGTAAATATATGTTCATATGCACTCTAAATGTTCAAACATATGCTCTCGAAATGTTCAAAAAGATTCTGAGGAAAACAATCTTGCCCCATGGCTCAGATCATCGGTGAGCATTGAATCGGAGCATCATAGGATTTGAACTATCCTGAAACCATAAGAGGCTCACGAAGACGTTCCCCAGGAGAGAATTGACGTGCTTCACAAAACAAACTCTAGGTATGTATCCCCTCGGGGAACACCTTTCGTGATTATGCACTCGTTCTGAATGTTCAAGAGGGTTTCAACTATCCTGAAATCATGAGAGGCTCACGAAGACGTTCTCCAGGAGAGAATTGAATTTAGAGGGGGGGGGG